CAACTTGGGTCAAGATCAAATTATAAAAAAATATATAGAAAAGACATGAAATGTTAAGATTCAAATTCTAACAAGCATACATTTTTTGTTAACTTAAGGCAAATTCATACTTCATCAGAAAGTACTTCATAAGAAGTACTCTAAAGTGTGAGGGAGCTGATGGTGGAATATTGAGTACCCCATCCACCATCAATTATCCTAGTTATATAATTACTGTAAAGGGTGATGGTATATCGAGTAATTTACCACACTAACTGGGTATGTAAATAAAAAAGAATGTAGTTAAGTGTGAATGGATTTGGATTGGAATTGATTGCGTTGGGAGCTGAAATGACCTAGCTGTTGATAGCCACTGGCCACCAACCTCAGCTGCTGGACGGATAAGACAGAGGTCTGACCCGGGGTGGATGAATATCATAATTTTAAAAAATCTAGACTCGGTGGATCGATAGAATTGGTAGGCTCAACTCTGTACACCCATGAATATATGTACATTTAATGGATGTATATTTAAAAAAACGTATTTGTACTAAAATTCATAATTTTAATGGGAAAATTGTAGTGTGAAAAAATAAATATCCTTGAAATTGTAGCATAGTTTATATAAGACAAAATTAAATGTCCAGCTTGATGTGCTGACTTTTGAGAAGTGATAAACTCAACCCTGTACACGCATTCATACATGTGCTGATTTGAGCTCATATTAAAAAAAATTATGTGTATTTATACTAAAATTCATAATTTTAATGAGTAAATTTTGGTGTGAAAAAATAAATAACCTTGAAATCGTAGCATAGTTTATATAAGGTAAAATTAAATGTCCAACTTGATGTGGTGACTTTTGAGAAGTGATAAGCTAAACTCTGTACACGCATGCATTTATGTACATGCATATGCTGATTTGAGCTTATATTTAAAAAATTATTATTTATACTAAAACATAATTTTAAACTGTAAATTCTGGTGTGAAAAACGAGAGATCCTTTAAATCGTACCGTAGTATTTTAAGATAAAATTATATGTCCAGCTTGATATGCTGACATTTGAGAAGTGATAGGCTCAACTCTGTACATACATGTGCTGATTTGAGCTTATATATTTAAAAAAGTAAAAAAAATTATACTAAAATACATAATTTTAAACAGTAAATTCTGGTGTGACAAAAAGATCCTTTAAATCTTAGCATAATTTTTTTAGGATAAAATTAAAAGTCCAGCTTGATATGCTAACATTTGAGAAGTGATAGGCTCAACTCTGTACATGCATGTGCTGATTTGAGCTTATATATTTAAAAAAGTAAAAAAAAAAAAATTATACAAAAATACATAATTTTAAACAGTAAATTCTGGTGTGACAAAAAGATCCTTTAAATCTTAGCATAATTTTTTTAGGATAAAATTAAATGTCCTGCTTGACATACTGACATGATTAAAATTGGAATAATTAAAATCTAGATAATAAATTATAAAAGAATTAGATTAATTCACTCAACAATTTGCAAAAATAATGTACCTAGATACATAAATAAATTAATCGTTAAAACTATATATTGATCATCTGTGGATTTTTAAGTCATATTCGCGATATAATGTGATCTCAAGTTTCTCCCTTTCTGCTCGCATGGTGTCAAATGTTAACGCAAAAATTCGGCCCGGATTCAAAAAAAGGGAAAGTTTGACTAACCGTTAAAAATCCCTCGTGCGCGGAATAAAAAAAAAGCTCGCATTCGTACAACTTAGGCTTTCGCCTTCGAGTAGAACTGCCCAGTGAAACGGGTTTCTGTTGTGGCACGTTATTATATACAGGATGATTCACCATTCATCGACGTGCCATAGAATTGCTTTCTGGAATAGTTACCTCGAATATATCTGTCAAAATGAAACTAATATACTTCTATAAAATTAAAGCGGGCCTCCATAAGTTATGGCGTTTGAAATTGGCCACGGGTAGACTTAAGAAATTAAATGCATAGACGTTGGTTTTATTTACCGGTTAAATTGTTTTTTTAGTTATATTTTTCTTTCTATGACGCCTGTTTCAATTACTGTTTGTTTGTTTTGGGCAGAATTATTTATAAGCGGATTAAGAGGTAACGTTGGTCCTATAATTTCTCAACCTTCTACCTAACGTAACAAGTTGTATAATTAAAAAGAAGTATGCTAACTATTGTCTAAACCCTCACAGATCATCTCAATTTGCATATTCTTCCTGTATCTGTAGATACCGTTGTCTCAAGACATCACAATATTCACGGGCTGTCAACAGTAAATTTCAGCTCCCAACGCATGTAGATTTTTCATCTAGACACTCATTCGAATTTTTTATTTTATTTACACACTATTCACTCAATTAGGGTGATGTTCTCGATCTTCACCCTTTGCCTATAGATATTATAGCCTATAGATAATTTAATCAAGGATCGATTGGAAAGTCCATATTCCTCCTTTTTGTAATGCACAAGCTGATATATACATTCATCTCAATCAACCCGAAATATATCTTCACTTATTATATGCAAGAAAAACACCCCTGTTTCCTCAAAAAATAGATACAGTGAACTGACAAAATAATTGAGCAATTTTTCTAGGTGTAAAAGTAAAAAGACTCGTCTGGAGTGTAAAGTAAGTTATTAGCGAGAATGGAGTGGGTTAGACTAGGCCTCGAGAAATGTCGAATACTCTGGGGTGAATGAATTGTCACACCTCTGTGTTTCTACCGGCTGTTGTATTTATGTTACTATATTGGAATAAATGTAATTTATTAGCGTGAAAGCAATGGCTGGTCTAACCCCGCCACGAGGAATATCGACTACTCTGGGGGAATGAATGTGACCAGACTTCTTTGCTTGCATCGGGTGTTGTGTGTATATATATATAAAAGTATATTTGGAAAAGAAAACAAAACATTTTTTTGTTCAAAATAACAAAATAATACTTATAATACTTGCAATGGCATGAACTAGTCGTCTGCCAGTTGACCCTTACATATTTACATTCAAATAAAACTTAAATTAACATACAAATTATAAACTTACCATAAAATTATCTCTGCAATTTAGCGCATCTATAATATATCTGTACAAACTAAACCAATCTTTCCCATTTAAAAGTTCTATATACGCACGGAATGTCAAACGACATCTGTGGAACCAAATTAACCTAACGTTTTCCAAAGTTGGACAAACTGCCAAAAAATGAAACAAATCTTCCACCGTTTTTAGTTTACATATATAGCATGCTTGGTCTCTTTCCTCCAGCCAAGGCTTAAAATTTAAATATAATAATTGACCTCTCGCGCGAAAAAAAACCTTGATCAAATTCCAGTTGTATTCCTTATAAAAGTAATTGTCTCCAAGATCGAAGTTCAATTTTTTGTATATTTAATGGTAAGTAGAATATTGCACTTTTCTAAAACATTCTTCTTTATGATGAGTTTCTTCTGCCTGTAATAATTGTACTGCCCAAATTTTGAAATATTTCGCATCTGTAAAATTTATACGAGAACTACAGTTCAGTCCGGAAGACAACACTTCCAATTCTTTAAACCAAAAAATGTTTTTTTTTATTATCTCCTGAGCAAGGAGGTAGGGCAAACGATCTTGTTTCAGACCCAAAACCCGCTGTATATAATTTAAATGACTCCTCAACGTATACACAAACAAAGGTCTGAAGCCTAATTCCAAATAAAGAAAATAACTTGGTGTATAATAGGGAGCGCCAAACAACTTCTTAATAAAAAAACAAAGAAGTTTTTCTACCACTTCATACTGATGGTAGCCCCATACTTGTGACGCATAACACATCATAGACCTAGAGACGGAATTAAAAACTTTAAATTTACTTTTTAGAGGAAAATCTCCGCTATTGAGAATAACGTTCCAGGTTATATTCAATCCTTGTTTAGCAACCATAAGTTTATTGGCCAAGTGCATATTGAAGGAAAGTAGAGGAGTCAACGTTACACCTAAATATTTGTACTCTTTTACTACCTCTATTCTTTCATTTTCTAAAAAACATCGTTCATTCTTTGATTCTTCTACCGCCATTTCTAAACACCATAATCTTAGTTTTATTCAAATTTACTGACAAATTCCACATTCGGCAGTATTCTCCCAACCTGTTTAACATCTTTTGAAGTTGAACCGGTTCAGTACTCATCAAAACTACATCATCTGCATACATAAAACAGTTTACATTTGATGCTTCGACAAACAGACCGCCACCCAAAAACTCGGGTAAATCGTTAATAAACAGCGAGAACAGAAGAGGGGAAAGCAGACAACCCTGCCTTACACCTACTCTAGTTTCAAAGGTACTTGTGACCTCTCCCATACACCACACACACCTCTTTGTCCCACTATACAACGGCTTTAATATCTCGATAAACTTACTGAAGATCCCATAATTATACAGTTTATAGAAAATGGCCATTCTGCTTGGCGAATCGAACGCCGACTTAAAATCAACAGAGCAGCAGTAAACTTTTCTACGTTTTACAGATAATTTCAATTTTATAATGTTAGTTAAACTAAAAATATTATCCACAGCGGAATATTTTTTCCGAAATCCTGCCTGGCACCGGGTGTTGTATTTGTGTGAATTTGTTTGAATGATGTAATTTATTAGCGTGAAAGGAAGGGTTTACTTAACACCACCCCGAAGAATATCGAGTATTCTGGGGTGATTGTGTGACGCCTGGAGAGTAAAAGTAATTTATAAGCGAGAATGTTTATTGACATCTATGTTTATATGTTTTTATGACAACATGAACTACAAATATGAGGCTGGCATTAATTATGTCGACTTAGCGTAAGTAACAGATCAAGATGGCTGTTGAAAAATACGCGCGAAAGACGTCCAACACACAAAGGGCTGGCGATGATCACAGCTGTTTAATTCAATATTGTTTATGATTTTTACAATATTGTTATTATTTTCTAAGTGAATATTATATTTGAATAACAAGAAAAATTTTAATTTCTGGATTTTTTTATGTTTTAGGTTGCCAGCGTATGAAGCAGTTTTCTTGCATGGGACAACATGTCTGAAAGTTGTAAGTAAAGTCTTAATTAATTAATAATAGTTTATTTTTATTGTATTGCCATGTCATTTTGGTTAAGGTTAAAAGACATCGTTACTACCAATATTGGTCTGTTGTACGTTCTCCAGAGAACATGCTGTCTCTCCTACATGACAATGCCTGCGTTGTTTCTGTTGCTCAAGCTATTAGTCAATATGCTTGCAAATTCTGGACCAAACTTACTATTATTCCAGTCATAACATGTCTCAGGTTTCGTAGTTCTGTCGTTAGTTTCAGTTATGGTCTTTAATGAACTTTATCGCAGGTCCCTGTTTTATAGTTCAATCCGATTGAATCAAGAAATCATTAACCCATTGTTTCATGAATTTTGTTTATTTGCTAATCCGCATAAGAGCTCAGAGAAATCTCGATCAAATTTTCCTTCGCTAATTTATCATTCTCCTTATTACCACTCGGTCCTGTATGCCCTGATTACCAAACGGTGATTTTGTTATTTGCCCCACAGCCTGGTCAGAGTCTTAATGCGATCCTAAAAGACTTTGGACTTTACTATCGCTATTCTACAGCCTGGCTGTCCTAGTAGTTGGCTTTTATTTAGTTGATAATAGCCAGGTTTTGATCTTCCCCTTTGATGTTCCCTGGCGACCAGTCAACGAACCTAGTCCCAACACGTCCAAGATAGTAGGTCTGCGATAGTTCTTAAATGGACCTCTTTCGCAAGCCGATCTTCTGAAATACATTCCAAATGAACCGAGGACCTATTCTTAACTCATTGTCTGATGGATTATGACAAATTACTATGCCTAAAAATGGGTGATGTCTGGTAAGTGTACCGAGCAAAGTTCCTTGGCTAACTTATCGTCCTCCTTGTTGCCCCTCTGACCTTTATTTTCTGGTATCAAAACAAAGGTTATTTTGCGATTTTCCTCGATGCCTGACGAGGATTAATCAGACTCATAACTTTACTACCATTATATTATCACCTGGTATATTGATTTTATTTAGTTGGTAAAACTAGGTTTTGATTGGGGGGTCCAATAGTCACAGACTCTGTGTCCGATGATTCTAGTCCTAGCACGTTCTAGATATACTAGTTCTGCCCTTAGATTCTACGGTGACCCATGGTGTGAACCTAGGACTTATTCATAACCCATTGTCTGATAGAGTTTGGCAATTTGGTATGCCGGAAAAGAGCTCAGGGCTTGACCAAACTTTCCTTAGCAAATTTGTCGTCCTCCTCATTGACACTCTGTCCTGCATGTCCAGGTATCCAAACAAGGGTGATTTTGCGGTTTGACAGGGGTTAATGCAGTCCTAAATGGCTTTGAACCTTACTACCATTGGAGTAGTAGCTTCTACTATGCCGGCTGCATCTCCAAATAGATGGCTATCCCTTGTTGATAATAACCAGGTCTTTGATCTCTCGGGCACAATCTTCAATATTTGGCATAAAATGATGTGGCATATGTCCTAACCAATATCTGATAAATTTTCACTGAGTAGGTCGACATTTTTATTTTTATCTAGTCAACCTCACAGCATAATGCTGCCACTTCCTTTAAAATTAGACATTTTATTTATGAATATTTTTCCAAGCTGAACATAAATCAGAAAAGGCTCTTGAAATAATTCATTCGTTGACCGAAAAAATAGCCAGATAATTTAAGAAATTTATTTCATGATGAATGAAATGATTTTTTTAAAATTTATCAAGTTAAATACCTTGTACGTTGGATTACTACATATTCAAAGAGCTAATTATGACGTGCATGAGTTTAACACAACATAATCATAAAGTTCATTATTCATCTCCTTATTAAGTTAAAATCATAAAATTAATATATGCATAGTTTAATACTGTTTTATAGCCTCGTGTACCTATTTAATTAGAAGCCGTTAAATGTTCGGATTTTTTCTAAGATCTATCTCGAGGGAACAATTAAAAAAAATATGAAAGGGTTTAGAAATTGTTTAACCCTTTATGACCCAATGTTGCTAGAGCAAGACTAACATTGGAAATTTTATTAAAAGGTTAGTGGGAAATTCCGAAAAGTTTGTCGAGTGTAGATTGGTGCCAAAAAAATCAGTTTTGCCAATACTTCCCGCCCTAACTTCACTGGATTTCCTCCTAACCTCAAACGAAATTGATAAAGTTGGCATTGTTCTGAAACAACTGTGGCAAAAAAGGGTTAAATTAGAAACTGGATATGAAAATGTTTATGTTTGGCAAATTTATCATTCGATACAAGATGCAATGGCCGGATGAAGAGCCACGTTAGATAGAAGACTCCAAGTTGGAGAGTTTAGATTGGCGCCAAATAATTCAGTGTTGCCAATACACATGTGCAGAAGCAGGACAGAAATAACACTGCACCTCCCTAAATTCACGGGATTTCCTGCTAACCTCAAACAAAATTGCTAAAGTTGGTATTGCCCTGATGCAACTTCGGGCAAGAAAGGGTAAATTAGAAACTGAAAATGAAATTTTTTATGCTTGGCAAATATACCAATCGATAGAGAGGTGAAGTGCCATGTTGAAATAGAATATTCCAAGTTGGAGATTTTAGATTGGCGCCAAATAATTCAGTGCTGCCAATACACGGGCAGAAACAGAGCTGGAAAAACACGGCGACCGCTCTAAATTCTTAGGAATAGCTAAGCTTTAAAAAACTTGCTTTTGCTGTTGTTCCGAGGCAATTTTGGGCTAGAAAGGTTTCATAAGAATATATTAATGTCACTATCTTATCTGAAAAATAGTAAAAATGTAAACATAAGTGTTGATTCTAAAGTAAAACAATTTGGATTAAGTGGTGCGTTCTGACATTTAAAGAGGAAGTAGTTCTCTTTAAAACACACATTTACATATGTTTTTTTAAAAGGAAAATAGTTAAACAACATAGACAACTTATTTGTGATGTGCATAATTTCTGTTTGTTCTTGTTGTGATCGGTCCTTAAATGTTGTAGACAACACCTGTTTTGCAATCTCCTTAACTTTTCACAATATGACAGGAGGTAATAATACTGAAGATTTATTTAGTGCATCAGGGAGTGGCCGACTGGATGTTCCCACCGTTTTTCCCTAAGCATAATTTATGATAAGCGCCGTCTCGGTTTTCAAGTCGCTATAGTTTACCTCAAAATTAAATGCATAATGGGTTCGCTATTGATCAAATTGATCTATAGCGGGAGAACCTAACAATTAGACCAAAAACGGGCTCAAAAATTTACTCTCGGGCCAAGACCAAATTTACATTTTTTTCCTTTGAAGAATTTTCATTTTTTTAAGAAAGTAGTCTTTCTTGTAGGCATAATTGGTATGCTGAATATATGTAAATAATATTCAACACGGGTGATACGTGATAAGTATAAGTTTGTAGATAATTTAAACGGACCTTGTTTTGTAGACGGATTTTTCTTTGTACTTCTCCTTTTTACCATAAAACAACAAAGATTTACAAAAATGAATTAGTTTTTTGCTCAATTTCGCGTGTTTGTGTATCAAACGTAAAGCATAATTAATCTTAAGTAACTAACACGTTTAATTATTTATTATTAATTAACAGGAAATTCTTTGTTTACATCAATGGCATAAGATTAATAAGGTCACTATTAGTAAGTATAAAACTTGTGGTTCCCCAAGGTTCTGTTCTTGGACCGACATTATTTAACATGTTTATAAAAGACCTTTGCAAGCTAAAATCAACATCGTACTGGCCCTCTTTGATGGTCTGCCTTTATAAGAAGATCCTCTTACAGGATTGATTCTGTCTGCAGAAAATGATCGGTAATTATAGATAGGTGTTTTAAACATTTTGAAAAATGGAGAATCAAAAATGACAGCAAGATGGAGGCAATTCTTAATGCAGACAACATATTGTCAATTATATCAAAATAAATAATTCGCCAATACCATGGGCTGAGAATGTGGAATACTGTCGAATTTGTCTGTATTCCAGACTCAATTTTAATTACTATATTGGAAAAAATGCTTAAAAGCATGGACAATCTTTAGGTGCTTTTATACTGTGTTTAATAAGCATTCGTATATGGACAGTAAAAATAAAAAACTTATAGGCTATGCATAAATCCATTAATACTTATGGTGTTCCCATTTGGGGGAGATATGTCTAAATCCAATTTTGCAAAGGTACTAATGTATATTGCGAGGTAGTCCAAACTACTGCTCTAGGACTTACTGGAGGGTTTAAACGTTGGACTCTGATAGAATATATGCTTGTGACATATAAACATACCTTACTTAACTCTTTCTTTCTCAACATTTGGCTCAGGTCCAGACCAAATTTAGCAAATTATAAAAAGCTAATTTCGTGAGTTTAGTATGGGCGCAGTGTTTTTCCTTTAATGTTTCATCCCCTGTATTGGTAACACTGATCTTTTTGTCGCCAATCTAAAATTTTCATCTTGGGAGGTTTTGTATAAATATTGAATTATTCGTTTATTATTTCAACTTTGTTCTATATTTTTAATAAAACGAAATAACCAACGTTTGATCACATTTTTTATTTGCAGATACATATAATCTAGCTATCAATAGGCTACAGGAGCCAACTGGTGATTATCAGAAGGAACGACAATTTTCGAATTTTTTTCTTTTCCCGATTTTCTGTTTAGTTATATTGGTAGCGCTAATCGGGTCAGAATTCATTTATTACCGCAAATTGGATATATATATTTTTCAGATATACACTTTCTTCCATTTTCCTATCATACTGGCGTCCATCATATACGATTATAGTTTGCTTCCATATTGACACCAATTTGGCGTCCTGTTTTTCTCACTTCTCCGAATCCCACTTTTATATTTTTTATATATATTTATATTTATATAGATAACTATATACAAGATAATTACATTATATATACAATCTAGATTGAAAATTGATTTATCAGGCCCGTTTAACTTTTAGTCTATTTTCCTGTTGACTTGAGATGGAACAAGGGCGAAGGCCTGCAGCACGCGACATTTATTTCTTTCTTTTGCGCCTTTTGGCTTTCTGAACTTTAGCAAAGTTTTATTTATTTTTAAATATGAATTTTTAAGCATAAAGCATATTTGAATAATTTAACTGGCGTTTGAAGTTTAGAGATGTACAGTTCAACCTGAGCAAAGGATACAAAAACAATTATTTAGCTATCGTAGAAATGATAAATGGAAGTGCGTTGTTCAATCTTTTTTTTTAAGTTCTTATTGACAACTAGCTGTTTTCAATGATCCGGATTTCAAGCTTAGGAGTTCTACAACCTGATGATGAGCTAGAAGCTTGAAATCCGGATCGTTGAAAACAGCTAGCTGCGAGTAGGAACTATCTTTTTAAAAAAGATTTAGTTATCATATCAGATAACCAAGCACCCATCAAAGCACTTTTCCTAAATAACTCAAAAAATGGTGCTGAATTGCCAAACTAAACTAAATTGGTTACGTAATCCAAATAAAGCCATCCCCTGCTGGATCCCAGGAAATGTGGGAGTAGAGGGCAACGAGGAAAAAGCGCTGATAGATCCTGAGATTTTTGTTGCAAAGGGATTCACACTACCAATGAGTATCTCAGTCAAATTGAAAATGAAGCAATCGTAAAATTCACTCAATTGGATATAAACAATCCGAAATCCTTCTAGCAAATTTTGGAAAGAAAGAAACAGCAGATTGCTTCAATGGAAGCAGGAAAAACTTCGAATAATGACAGGATTCTTGCTGCAGTGTGAATGGGCATCTGAAGAAGGTTGCTTTAACCCAACACGACAATTGCAGATTCTGCAAAGAAGCAGAGGAGGCTCGAGGTCACCCACTAACAATACATATTGCCCGCAGTTCTTTTGTGATATACGACCGTAGAACCGTAGAAGAAATTCAACCGAAATTGAGCCTACTGGTCAAAATGCTTGATGAACTAGGACTAACCGGTGTGCTATAGGAACAAATCGAGGGAAACAATAGCTCTTAAAGGGCGCAGTATATTACACACCCTGAATATGTACATCTTGAGGTTTAGATCTTGTAGGACTACTTTGAAAAAAAAAGTTCTCTGACCGTTGCGGGCTGTTTAATTTTCGACGAGGTGAACCTTATGTTAAAACGGGCTAAATGCTCCTTGGCTGTGTGAGTGACATCTGAAAAGGCGGCTTTAACAATGGCATTCTAAAGGAAGAAAGGGGCCGTCAGAAACCGTCCCAATCGTTCTCACACCTCAATCTATTAAAAATTTACCGCCTTGGGTATTTATCGCCCGGTGTAAATGATTATTTCCCAGTTGATTTCCGTTCTTCAACCGAAGAATTTTTATAGAGGAAATCTCCAAAGGAAGAAGATAAAATGGAGGGATTCGTCATCCGTCGGAACGAAGACTGGATTATTCAAATCGTCTGTATTCGGCCTTTTTCCTACATCCTGTAATTTCAATACAGTCCTTTACCACTATTCTGAAATTCTGACTCATGAGTTTCATCCAGATCTATTATTAAATATTTAATGACTATCATGCTGACAAAACACAACAATTACAACATTCATCATTTAATTACCAATATTTATGAACTATGAATGTTTTATGATTACTACTTCAAATGAAAAGTTTAATTAAATTAGTTTTGGTTATCTTGAAACACTATTAATATTTTAACCGCTTTTTTTACAACATGGAAATTTTAAAGACTAAATTGCCATTTTTTAAGTAAATTCATTACTTACTTAAAAATTTATTTCGACTTTTCGGGAATTTACATCCATCGTCTTCATCTGCATTTTTAAAAAACAGAAAGGATATAGTATTTTACATTTTATTATTTAAAAAAAAGGTTTTTCATTATACACAGTTTCTCTTAAAATAGATATGAATATTTTGCACCTGTAATTTACTCCAATTTTCTTATTCGGATTTTTTTAAACTTCTTTTAGGATGTGTTGGAACTAATCAATGAGCTTTTTACTTGTTTCATTTAAGAGATAGATTTCGGGGGCATCCGCCTCGCCTCATCAGTCTTGACTTTTTAAAATGTGCGACACGAATAAACTCTTTTTCATCCCTCTTCCTTTTCTTTTTCCCCATTTCCTTTTTTTCCTCTTTCTGCTTTTTTTTCATAATATGGTGTTGTATATTTTATTATATGTTTTACTATTATTTTTGCTGTTATTATTATTTTATTATGTTTATTAAACATAATTTATTTCTAATATAAGTGAATGTGAGAGGTAATAAAGCCCTATTTGTATTTTTAAAATAAAAATAAAATTAATTGTTTTAAGAGTTCTCGCCAAAATTTAAACTATTGGATTTTTTATTTGTGTATATTTTTAAATAGATTTTATATTCTTTATTTTTCAATAATTTCTTGATTTTTTTAATATCGGAATATAATAGAGATATTTGGTTATAATCAATTTTTTATTTAAAGTTTTTTAATTATTTAAAAAAATATATATATCCATTCTAAGATTTGTGTGTGTGTTCTTTTTTACATTAGGTGTATGTTTTGATCGTGTTTATTTTATATCAATGCTATAATTCTTTACGTTCTTTAAACCGCTTTTTTGTTTAACTGATTATATGTATTATCACGATTATCATAATTAATTGAATAAATTATATATTTGTTGTTTATCTTTCTAGTATCTTTTATTGGGTATATAATATTTTAGGTTGTGTTTTAAAGTCAAATTTTATATAATCGACTCCATGTTTTTAAAATTTCTGATTATTTTTCTGATATATTGTTAATATCAATATAAAGGAATTGAAATATTTTAAACCACATTTATTTTATAATATTAGAAGAATATCCATTTAATATGAGTATGTTAAAGATAATTGCTAATATAAATTAGTTATATTAATTATTATTTTAGCAATTAAAAAAGAAAAGGTAGCCCGCTCAAAACAAAAAAAATATATAAAGGAAAAGTGTTATTGTGTTTTGTTTTATTAATTTTGTTAAGTAGTATTATTATATTTATAATATTTTAATGGAATAATAAAAGGACAACGATGAGACTGTTGCTAGTCTGACTATATTATTATAATTATTATTATTATTGGCCACACAAGCCTATGGCAAATGATTAAATTAAAGAACAAAAATTCGAAATTCTATTTAAAGAACAGGAAAAATTTTTATAATTTAAAATGGGTTTTTCAGAGATTTATAGCAATGAGAAGGGAAACAAAGCTAAGCTATGCGAGGATAATAATAGTTAATAATTTTAAAAAGTGATATATCTTTTAAAAGTGATATATTTTTTATAATGAAAAATTTCGACAGAAATTTTTTTTTTCATTTTTAAATGGAAGCTTTATAATAAAATGTAAAATAATAATAGCCTTTCTGTCTTTTTAAAATGTAGATTCTGATGAGGAGGTATAAATTCCCGAAAAGACCAAATAAATATTTAAATAAGTAATGAATTCACTTAAAAAAATGACAATTTAGTCATTAAAATTTCCCTGTTGTAAAATAAAAAATCTATAAAAATTTCATAGTGTTTCCTCATAGTGTTTCAAAAACCATAGTGTTTCCGCATTACGAAACTAATTTAATTAGACTTTTCTTTCGAAGTATACGTAATCATAAAACATTCATAGTTCATAAATATTGGCAATTAAATGTTGAATGTTGCAATTGTTGTGTTTTGTCAGGATGATGATAGTCATTAAATATTCAGTAATAGATCTAGGTGAATCTCATGAGCCAGAATTTCATAACGGTAATAAATTTTGTAATTTAAAATTGGATTTTTTCATACAGTTGGCCTTCACATTTAAGAAATTTAAAAAGATAAATTAAAGCTTTGGATTGCAATTGAATTGATTAGTTTATGTCTTAGCACTCAGAAGTGATATGTAAGATAGACGGTGTAAAAGTTATGTCTTTTAAAAGAAAGTATTTTAAAAACTTCATTAGTTTTTGAAAAGTAAGCTTTATAATAAAATGTAAAATGCTAATATCCTTCGTTATACTTGTCTTTTAAAAATTAGATGCTGATAAAAAATATGATATTAACTGAGCCCTCAAAATTTCCATGTAAAAAAACTTTTGAGGGAATTTGCAAAGCTCGAGGAGTTTGTAGTTAATAACAGTTACCAATCCAACAATTTCGAAAAATTCAAAATTTCAACATTTTTGTTTTTTCTGAAATTTTCGGGCAAAATGTTTCCATCAATTCTTCAATGTAAATAATGTTCATGTAGCCTAAACCAGATTTTTCTACAGGCACTAATTCTGAAGTTTATAAGCAATTTATTGGACCTGGGTTGAAAATTACTTCTTTACGATTGAGATTTGGTCAGGGGTTGCATATGATGAGTAGAAACACCTGAAATTTTCGACACTTATCGCCAGTCACCCTGTATATTCAGTAGTTGGATTGTATCTATGTTTAAGTAAATAATTATAATGGTTCCATGTAAAGGAAGCTGTGTTATTTGAACGAAGGAATTTATTAAGTATGTTTATGCTTCTGTTTATGGTTATAAAAAAAATGTAAATTTTGGTCAAAGTGAAGAATGATTCTTTATTTTTTGTTTCAGATCTCGGGTCAGCCATGTTGAATATCTGCGGTGCCTAGCGTGAGAGGGGCGGTGAAAGGAGTGGGGTGGCGGAACGAGTCTAGTTGATGTGCAGAGTCAGTGAGTGCGAGTGAGATGTGTGGGTCGGACGTGGTGATGGCGAGTTAGCGCGATGACGGTGATCGGTGTCATACTGCTGGCCGTCGGGCTGTGCGCCGCTTCCGAGGTCCCGGGGCAGATGCAGTCGAGGGCCGTAGAAACTCGGGTCCAATACGAGATCAAGGAAGGACTGCCTAAAGGGAGCAAAGTGGCCACAATCCCGACGAAAGCCGGCTTCACGTACAGGTTCAACGAATCGCCTGCGGAATTCACGATGAACGGTACGACGGGCGAGATAAGGACGACGACCGTCCTGGACCGGGAAGCCCTGCCGACGGACCGTTTCGACTTGGTCGTCCTGTCCTCCCAGCCGACTTACCCGATCGAAGTGCGTATCTTGGTGTTGGACGTGAACGACAATTCGCCGGAATTCCCTGAGCCGAGCATCGCCGTCTCGTTTTCGGAGAGCTCGGTCGCGGGGACGAGGGTCCTCCTGGACTCGGCGGAGGACAGGGATTCCGGTGTGAACGGGGTGTCGGACGATTACAGGATAGTCGCCGGTAACGCGAAGGACAAATTCCGCTTAGAAGTGACGGCGAATCCGAGCGGCGAGACTTCGTACCTCCACCTGCAGACGACCGGCGATTTGGACAGAGAGGAACGTTCCTCGTACCAGCTGAACATTTCCGCGAGGGACGGAGGCTCTCCGCCCCGTTTCGGTTATCTCCTAGTCAATGTTACGATTTTAGACGTCAACGACAATCCGCCGATATTCGACCACAGCGATTACAACGTATCGTTGAATGAGAGCGTGCCGGCCGGTACTCGCGTGTTGCAAGTGATGGCGACGGACAACGACGTCGGCGACAATTCTAAAATAACTTATTACCTCTCAGAAAGTGAAAGGAAGTTTACAGTGGATCCGGAAACGGGTGTGATATCGACAGCGGAACTTTTAGACTGTCCCCATCAAAAGTGTATTCAGAGCGGGGAAACTGTGGGCTCGTGTCCCAAGTCGTGTGTGTTTACGGTCTACGCCAGAGATCACGGTTCGCCCAGGCAGGATGGAAGGACTTATGTCACTGTTAACTTAGTCGACGCTAACGATCATGACCCTACGATTAGGTTTAAGTACTTTTTTCCGGCTAATGTCGATTACGCTACTGTGGACGAGAACGCCGCAAATGGTTCCGTCGTGGCCGCTGTATCCGTACAAGACCTGGACGAAGGATTAAACGGGGAAACCCACGTCGAAATAAAATCGGGAAACGAGCTCAACCATTTCAGCCTGGAGTACAGTGAAACTTTTCATATCGTGAGAGTAAACGGAGTGCTGGACAGAGAGCATATAAACAAGTACAATTTAACGATAGTCGCTACAGATAAAGGGTCTCCTCCCAGAACAGACAGAGCGTTTTTAATAATAAAAGTGAACGACGTGAACGATCACGAACCCGTTTTTGAAAAAACCGAATATTCTGCGATATTGAGCGAGTTGGCCCCGCCCGGTAGTTACGTCGCTGGAATAACGGCCACCGATGAAGATTCAGGCGTGAACGCCCAGATCTATTACGCTTTTGTCTCAGGAAATGACAATCAATGGTTCGAAATCGACACAAACTCTGGTCTCATCACGACGAAATCCCCCCTGGACAGGGAAGTTCAGGGAACCGTAGAGTTGAAAATTTCCGCAAGAGACGGCGGCCCGAATCCAAAATGGGCCTACACGCATTTAAAAGTAATTATTTTAGACGAAAACGACGAAAAACCTTCTTTCAACCAAGAAGTGATAAACGTGAATTTATTGGAAAGCAAACCTGCTCAAACCCTAGTCGCTATGCTGACTGCCGAAGATCACGATCAAGGGACGAACGGCACTGTCACATATTCTTTACACTCCGACGTCCAGCAGCGTTACCCTGGAATGTTCACCCTCAACTCTTTGACAGGAAAACTCACGACTAACACCAAATTAGACAGAGAAAGAGAATCACGGTATGAAATTAGGGTCATAGCCAAAGATCAAGGTACACCACCTCAATCTTCGACTGCGACAGTTTTGATCAAAGTCGACGACGTCAATGACAACAGCCCGGAATTTTATCCCCAACAATATTTTGTACTCGTGAACGAAAATCACCCGATCGGAACTTCTCTACTTCGAGTTACGGCTAAAGATCGCGACGAAGGAGAGAACGCAGTAATAAGGTTCAACGTCGAAGAAGGAAGTTCAGGAATGTTTCAAATCGACGAAAACACCGGAGTTATATCTTTAAAACAGTTTTTAGGAAAATCGCAACAGGCTTTGTTCAAACTGAGGGTGTCCGCTAAGGACAAAGGCGGCAGGAAGGCCGTAGAAGACGCTATTGTGGAAATTATAAAGGAAAGCCAAGCGGAAGAATTGGAATTCGATTCATACGGAGCGTTCGCATTCAGCATAATGGAAGATCACGAGAAAAAAGAGCCGATTATCGGCAGAAACGTAGGAAAAGTTCAGGTCAGCCACCCGCAGAAAAATCACATAAGATATTCCATCGTGTACGGTGATGAGTTAAAAACGTTCAAAATCGACGAAAGAACGGGCGTTATAACAACTGCGAATAGGATCGACAGAGAGCTGACTCCTTTGTACAGCTTGACGGTAGCAGCACGTTCCGGTCTATCTTATGGAAAATGTACGGTGAACATTACAATTTTGGACGAAAACGACAACTCACCAGTTTTTTCGAGGGACAACGACAAAATCACCCTCGCCGAAAACGCTGCCGTCGGCCAGGAGGTTTATCTCGCAGTGGCTCGTGACGGCGATTCAGGAGCAAACAGCAGAATCACATTTAATCTAAGCTCAAATTCCGATAATCATTTCAGAATAGTGGAAAATACGGGAGTTGTTTATTTAAATAGACCGATCCGAGGCGAGCCGGGGACTCAATTATCCGTTGAAATCACCGCCACGGATTCGGGATCTCCTCCTTTGTCCTCTCGACATCTAGTCATCATAACAATCGAAGACGTCAACGATCATACTCCTGTATTCGATCACACGTCGTACGAAACGTCCCTTCTCGAATCCACGTCGGTAAACGAAAGGTTTTTCGCCCTAGCGGCTACCGATGCCGATTTGGGATCCAACGGGTTAGTCTCTTACAAAATCATCGAAGGTAACAACGAAGGCAAATTTGGAGTTTTCCCCGATGGGTATGTTTATGTGAAAAGCCCGTTGGATCGTGAAGATCGAGATTACTATTCTCTCACCGTGAGGGCGAGTGATCACGGTACACCGCCTAGAAGTTCAACTGTGCCGGTCGTAATTCACGTGATCGACGAGAACGACAACAAACCCGAGTTCACCAATTCCACTTTCAAATTTCAAATCAGGGAAAACGAACCGGCGGATTCTTTCGTCGGAAAATTGACGGCCGTGGATAACGACATCGGAAGAAACGCGGAACTGACGTTTTCTTTTACAAAATCCGACTTCGCGATCGACCCGAAAAACGGTTTTATCAAAACTCTCCATGTGTTCGACAGGGAAGAACTGATTGAAAGGACTGGTCAAGACTTTATAAGTTTGGAAGCTACTGTGACCGATAACGGCATCACCAGATTAAAAGACAAGGCCACTGTTAATGTTTACATAATCGACGTGAACGATAACGCGCCTGAATTCCTGCGAACGCCTTATAAAGTTCAAATTTCAGAAGGGTCAAATATCGGAACACAGGTGATACGGGTTTTTACAGACGACGCAGACGATGGCCTGAACGGAGACGTTTTTTATACGTTGTCCGAAGGAAACGAAGAAGGAAAATTTACAATCGACGAAGCTACGGGGCAAATTTCAATAGCAAAATTACTAGACAGGGAGACTAAATCGAGATATTCGTTGACAGTCGTAGCTCACGACGCGGCGATATCGTCCAGGCTCAGTTCGACGGCTACTATCGTCGTCGACGTCCTAGACGAAAACGACAACGCGCCAGAATTCACACAGACCGACTACAAGATCAGCGTTCTCGAAAATACACCGGTGAACACGGAATTGATTCAATTTCGTGCGACAGACGCCGATTTGGGCATGAACAGCGAAGTGTTATTTTCAATAGGGACGGGAAACCGGCGAGATACGTTCCATGTCGATCCCACTACCGGTTCTCTTTACCTCCATAAACAACTCGACTACGAAGAACTTAATTCTTACATACTAAATATAACAGCTTCCGACGGAGGTAATCCCCGGCTGTCGACTACTCTGTTATTTACGGTGAACGTTGAAGACTGTAATGATAACCCTCCGTTCTTCACAAACACCGCCATCGTCAGACAGATTAAGGAAAGAATCGCGGAAAACACGCCGATTGTGACCGTCACGGCGGAAGACCCCGATTCGGGCACTAACGGCGAAATCACATATTCTATTCTGAAGCAGGAGCCGGACGACCCGAACCACCCGGGCAAACTGCATTTCCAGATCGACAAGAGGACAGGCGTGATCAGGACGAGGTTGCCGATCGACCGGGAAATAGTGGACACTTTCAGGCTGACTGTCGTCGCCACGGACCAAGCACAGCCGGAGACGGCTCGACTCTCAGCGGAAAAGCTTGTCACGGTCATCGTCGAAGACGTAAACGACAACGCCCCGAATTTTGTCTCTATGACATCGGCCGTCTTGACACCTCCCAGGAGGCAGGGCCAGTTCATCATGAACGTGCAGGCTACAGATCTAGATTCAAGCACGAACGGCCTGGTCACTTACGACCTCATCACCGGAAACACCGATCTATTCCAACTGAACCGCAACACCGGGGCAGTCACTCTCCGTAGGGACATCTCTGACCCTGATTCCAGGTACAAAATCGCGGTCAAAGCGACAGACGAAGCGGTCCAATCGGATAGAAAATCCACCGATACTTACATAACTATCATCTGCGCCGGGGGCGGAGGACCGTCCTTCGAAAAAGACTCCCTTCGAGGTAGTGTGTACGAAAACGAAGGGCCGGGATCGAACATAGTGACAGTACGCGCGTTGGCCTCCGGTTCCGACGAGGTCGAGTACTACGTGACGAACGTGACCGGGTCCGGGGGAAGGCAAAGCGAGAGGCTGTTCGACATCGACGCCAAATCCGGTGTCTTATCGACGGCGGTGCCACTTGATAGAGAAGCTGGACAAGAATTTTATACCGTCACCGTTTATGCGATAATAGTCAACTCTGCCTCGCCCAGGGCTTCTTCAACACAGGTGAGCCAAACACCTTCACTTTATTTACTTACAACACTTACAATTATCCATGTTACGCCTTTAAAACTGAATATTTGATTAAATCTTCATTTTAAAAAAATTAAAGAAAAGACCCTAAAAGACCTATAGAAATGAAATAAAACTTACCTAACATAATTTATTGGACCGCGTGACTTTATCCTTCGCTATCATTTCCTATTGTGGAGGGAAAGTGAAACGGATCAACAAGCATATTTGCACATTTATAACACCAGACAGTTAAAAAACACTGAAATAAAATTAACTGTTTGTACACTTGATTTAAGTACCTTACGGTGCTCCTGAATGGGCAACAAGGCCCATGTTAACGAGTGTTCTTTGCGTTTAGTCGTACACTTTGATTGCTTCCTTGTTAAAAAATATCTAGGAAATTAAGCGTTTGTAAATTATCTTTGTTGTTATGAGTGTTTTGGACCTTCGTAGCTGTCCAAATCGTCTATTTTTGTCGTTCGAGTCTTGTGTATTTACTTCATGTCAATCTACTCTCCAAGAATAGCTTTAAATGTGGCTTTAACAACATAACCTAAAAAAATCCTATTTTGTTGGTTATAATTTTCATGTTGGCTCTTATAAACTAAATTTTTATAAGGAATAAACGTTGTTTTTATTGTTAGGTGTGGTTTTGGTCCTAAGTAGTTCAGAAAATTCTTCTGAGGACTTTTGATTGGAAAGCTTGGATGCGTTGTATGTTAGATGGCTTGGTTATATCCTACAGTCCTCAGTATGTCCAAATAGGTCGAAGTAATGTTTAGTGCAGCGTTGTTTTTATCGTTAGGTGAGATTTTGGTCCTAAGCAGTTTAGAGAATTCTTCTGAGGACTTTTGGTTGGAAAGCTTGGATGCGTTGGATGTTAGATGGTTTGGTTATATCCCACAGTCCTCAGTATGACCAAATAGGTCGAAGTATTGTTTAGTGCAGCGATGGTTTGTTTTTTTATTGTGAGGTGTGATTTTGGTCCTTCGTATTTGTCCAAATAGTTGATTTAGTCTTGTGTGAGGATTTCACGTCAATCTACCCTCCAAGTATAGCCCTAGTATTTTACTACTGTACACGTCGGTAGTTCTTTATTGTTGACGCGTATATGTGGACAAGGCTGTTTATTTTTGGGTGTATTTATCCTCGTTCAATTTCACCTGTACGTTTTGCACCATTCTTCAGTGACCTCGACATTCTTCTGGATATTATGGGTAGAATTGGAGGTAGGAGATAGAATTACAGCATCGTTCGCGTAGGTTGTAAGGATAGTGTTGGGCTGTATAGGCAGGTCAGCATAAATAGTATATAGGATGGGATCAAGAATACTCCCTTGTAGGACGTCGGCCAGGTCGGTCTGAATTCGGCAAACTCCTTGCCGTTAATTCCAGTTTAGTACATCAATTTAAAAATATAGCAGCTGGATATTTTTGATGTCATTCCTACACGTCAATTACCGTCCTCGTCATTCCACGATTCAGAAATGTTTCGGAGTTGTTGACACTATCTTCTCTGCTTTAGTGTACAGAGAACTCAGGTGCTGTATTAGACATGTCACGTCTTTTGAAAGCGTTTGACAGGGAAGTTTTCTTCAAGTTGAAGCCGTCCCTATCCACGCCTTATCACATCCTAAAATCTTTTCCACCCGAACGCTGCTTCAGATTGAGATATTGCAACGAATTTTCCGAAGTCAGAATAATCCAGGCCGGTTACTACAATTCTTGGTCCAATCATCTATAGAATGTATACTGCTGAACTGCCAATATATCCCAACACCATCCTGACAACCTCCGCAGACGATACTGTAATTTTATCTCCTAAATTCAATCCTTCCCAAGCCAGGCAGTCAAAGCACTTTACGAAGTCTCTAGCTTCACTATCTACGTTGGAAAGATGTACAACTGTGGGGTTCCATAAACTATCCAATATTTAGACTTTACCCAATCTTTCTAGTTTTTAGAGTTTGTCAAAGTTCTTTACTATGACACTAGCTTACTATCCAGTTTGGACAGATGTAGAACTTTGGGGTTTTCAATAAACAATCCAATGTTTATAGTAACCATTCCTTCCAGTCTTTAGACTTTGTCTAATTTCTTTGCTATGTGATTAGGCTTTACTATCCTGTTTGGAAAGATACACAACTGTGGGGTTCCACCAAACTATCCAATATATAGAGTATCCAAACTTTCCAGTCTTCAGACGTAGTCAAAGTTCTTTCTCATCCCGAAAATCCGCACGAAGTCTTAATCGACTATTCCCTCGAGACCTCCTTGTCGTTTAATCCATCACGTAAGTGCTAGCATTCGATGGTTTCTAATTTCTAATATAATTTTAATGGTGATTAAACTTTTAACCAAAATATTTTTAGAAATTTTCTAGGTAGAACGTAATAATAAAGACAGTCATTAATTTATTCTACATCGTAAATTGTGCTATGAAAGTAGAAAACAAGGTTTTTAGATTAAGTAAAGGTAAATTCTATCGTTTGCGTTGGTTGTAAGCGTTGGGCAGGTCAGCTGTGTAAACAGTTAACAGGACGGGACCAAGAAGGCTCCCTTGCGGAACGCCGGCCTGGATCCGTCTTGTTTCAGAAAAGTCATTGCATAAAATTGTTGTTTATTTATAAAATTAGCTTTTTTGAATAATTAAAAAGAACGATTTTAATAAAAAAATCTACAGATCGCAGAGAAACTGAAACGTGTCTCACGAACCAAAATAATTAGCTTACGAAAAAGACCAGAAATGACTAAACTGCCTAAAATAATATTTTAAATGTATGATAATTTTTCTTATATTTGAACCAAAATATTTTATTTTAAAAAAAATCACAAAGTCATCTAAGCTCGTGCTAATCCGAACGTTTTGTACTGTTACACTTTGTACGAGAAGATATTGTTGAAGTGACATTTTAGACGCCAATAAAAAAACTTCTTATCATAAAATAATCAGATTTAAAAAAAAGACGTCGCGATTCGCCGATGGCGACCAAAAACGAGGAAAAGGAATAAAGAATACGTGTCTATGTCAACGTGTTTATCGCTGATGGTTAATAAAATATGTTAATTAAACACACTAGGGATTAAGTGTTTTCGGGCTTAGAAAGGTATATAAAAACAAATAAAAATCCAAATTGGATGTCAGCCCCTGGGATTACTCTACATTTAATTGTCGGATTTACATATCTGTCCGGTCCCGGGGAAGAACGATAAAGAGAGAGGAAAAAAGCTTCGAAATAAAAATAAAGAGGTGAAAAAACAAAAGCTCGAGATACATTAAAAAGCAATTCCGCGGTTAGAGTGGTCGAGCTTGCTTGTATCGGGAGGCAAATGCATTTCTATCTGGTCCTTTTAGTGTCGCTGTATTTGGAGGAGGCTAATTGCAAGTAGCTGATAGCAGGTGACACCCGCTCCGCTCCCACACCTCCTCTTAGCCTCATTTTATTTTTATTTTTTTTTGTCGGTGAAAAAATCCATGCCAAGGTTGGCCTTTCTGTGGAATGGACATTACCGATATTCCTTATCGGTTTTACTTTGGTCTGCCTGCCTTTCCGAATTCACGAATCGGAATTGATCGCCTTTTATCCCTCTCTTCTCTTTCCAGTTTGAATATAATCCTTATTTTTCTTCTACTAACTAATTTTCCAAAATTTCGAAGTATTAAGTATACATTTATTTTACTAACGGTCACTGGCATCTGAGAAAACATCTACACAACATGGGCATATACAACGATGATCCCATTTGCTGATTATATAATGAGGAGGAAAAAACAGCCACTCATATAATCTTCGAAAGCGAAGCAACAGTTCAATGGAGATTTAACCTAACATACGAAAAAAACTTAGGGAATCAAATTGCAGCAGCGACAGTCAATGACCTGATACTTCTAAGGAGAAGGATTGAGTCTAATGCACTGAACTAAGGAACTAGGAAGGTACTACAAGCCAAAAGGCTGCAGTGCCTGGGAAGCGCAAACCCCGCTTACTAGTATCCTTTTTACCATACCATACCATACATTTATTTGATATCTTAGGGACTCGCGTGGAAGTTGTTAAGTTGAATGCGATGGTTGTACTCACAAATTTTGGGTTTTCCATGGTATCGAGGCTTTCGGATGGCTTGGATCGAGAGTAGTGGACTTAAGGGAGCGAGATGAAATCAGGTCACAAAAGGAATATTCAGGTCATGCAGATAGTAAAGTTAGTGGCATAAAGATAACAAATTCTGATGACAGGAATGATTGGATACTCTTAATACTGTATGGTTTGATGGAACCCCGCAATGTGTGTCCAAATAGGTCGCAGCGATATCTTGCATGAGTTGATTTTGACGGTAAAAGCTGCTTTCGTTCCTAAAGGTCTTCTGTTACAAGTCTCTTAAGACGTCTTAAGATTCAAAGCCTCCTGCCTGTAAATTGTCTTAAGTATCTAATTCGGGGAGGAATTGGATACTCTAAATATCGTATGGTTTGGTAAAATGCCACAGTTTTTATTTCTGTCCAAGTAGATAATGAAGCTAATGGCATAGTAAAGGGTTTAATCTAAGGACTGGATTGGATAATGGACGGTTTGGTGGAACCCCAAAGTTTTACGTCTGTCCAAAGTAAACAAGGAAGCAAGTGACATAGTAAAGAGCTTTGACAAAGTCTGAGGACTGGAAGGAATGGGTTTTGTAAAAATTGGATGGCTTAGTGGGGCCCAGCAGTGTTTAATTCTGTCAAAAGGAGATAGTGAAACTAATGACATGGTAAAGGGTTTACGTCTAAGGATGGAACGATTGGATACTGGGCGGTTTGGTGGAACCCCGAAGTTTTCCAATGTCTGCCGAAAGTGAATAGGTAAGAAAGTAACGTAGTAAACAACTTTGTCAAAGTCTGAGAACTGGAAGGATTAGATTGTGTAAATATCGAATAATTTAGTGGAACTCCACAGGTTTCACATATGTCCAAATTGGGTAGGGAAGCAAGTGACATAATAAAGAGCTTTGACC